TTCGCTCCCCTTTTCCTCTCCAACCGCGAAGCATGACTTTCCCTGGTGCTTGTAAAAATAGTCTCCTTAGATCTTTAGCTTCCTGTTCGAGTGAGCCCGCCCAGCCCCTCCCAGGGCTTGGTCTGGGATCTTGGAGAGAATAACCCAGTTCCCGCCCTCCCCCCTCCCCACCCCCACGCTCCCGATTCTCCTTCCAGACCTTCTGGCCCGAGGGCCCTCCCTCTTTTCTTGCCCCCTCTTCCTCTTCTCATCAACAGCTTCTATTTTCTGCAATTCTATCACCCCCTTTCTCTTTCCTCCCGATTTCTCTTATTTTCTCTACCCCTTAACTCCATCAGACCCCCATCTCATCTCCTGTCTGTCTGTCTGTAGAGCTCTCTGCTCAGTCTGTCTCTTCAACTCTCTCTCTCTCCATCTGTCTCTTCCCCTCCCTCTCTCTTTCTGCCCCCCCTCCACCTCCCTCTTTAGTCATTTAAAAAAAGATTTTTGTCTTCCTGAGAAGTTAGCTTAAAAGGTTTCCATGGGAACAGTGAGGGGAGATGGAGGCAGAGAACAGAGATTTGCAGCCAAGGTGCAGAGACACCCTCAGTCCCGGAACCCCCTCGTCACTGCCCCCTACCACTGCCTTTCCCCTCTGGGACCAGGGATGCAGGTCCTCCATGTCCTCCCCACCCCCCAACCCTAGGTGACTCCTTTCTTCCACCAGCTCCCCTCCCCTCAGCATCCAGGCTTCCAGTTCCTCTTCCTTAGAGAGAGCCAGTGGCCTATCTCTATCTCTTGGCTCCCTTCAGCCTCGTCTGATAGGCCCAGAAGGCCCTTGGGGGTCAGCTCTGGGACCCTGGGTGGTTGGATGGCCAGGGATGTGTCATTGTCATGGAAACCTCTGCCCATGGGTGTGTGGGGTAGCACATCCATGTGAGGCAAAGCCAGGTGGTGGTGGTGGAGTGTGTACAGAGAATGTGTGTGATGTCCGTTACATCTGTGTGTCGTGTCCATGTCTGGGAAAGGTTTGTGTGTTGTGCACGTGTGAGCACCTGTGTGTCCAGGCCAGCGTGGTCACATGCTGTGGGGTATGTTTTCCCTATGTCCGGTGGTTGGTGTCTCTGTCCACTTATTCCTCATCTGTCTCTTCACCCGGAGTCCTCGGGGTCTGGGGTCTCTGCTGTGGGCCTCCCGCGTGTCTCCTGTGTGCAGGCAGCCATGTGTGTGTGCAGCCGGGGCTGGTATGTGGAGGTTGTTGAGCTGGAGGTTCCGTAGGGTTGGGAGGGGGTCCAGAGGTCTGTATATCGGGGACGGTTTGGTGAAAGCGTTGATGACTGGTGAACGTCTGGGTTTTCCGGGGGATGTGGACTGTGTCGAGGGCATGGAGGTGTGCAGGGGACGTAGGGCCCGCGACGGTGTGCTGGGGCCGTGGGTGTTCGAGCCCCGGAAGGGACCCGACCACTGAGGGCATTGGAATCCAGGGCTCCCCTCTGCCGGGTGGAGCCGCCGCCCCTCGTCTCTCCGCGGTTTGGGGTAGGGGTTGTGCTCCGGAGGGAGATGGTGGGAGGCCCGGCTGGCTTAGGGGGGTCCCCTCGTCCCCCTCCCCCCGTCTCTCTTGCGCTGTCTCCGGGCGACTCGTGACAGA